TGAGGGCCCGAGTGAGCCTCACCCCCAGCCGAGGATGAGGGAGAGGAAGGCATCGCACCTCGCCCGGACGCAGAGGCGGGCTGCCCGTCTCACGAGCGGGGAAAGCTGAGCACGCCCCACTCACCATGGCGGAAGGGTTGGTCTGCCTCTCACGCTCTCGCCTGATCTCACTCTCGATGGACTCGCGGATGGCCAGTTTGCAGGCACGCTGGCAAATTTCTGTCAGGTCAGCCCCCGAGAAGCCATTGGTCATCTTAGCTAGGAAATCCAGGTCAACATCCTAGTGGAGAAAAAAAAAAAAAAAGAGAAGCCTCTCCTTAACACGTTACAACCTCAGGTGACTTCAGATCTCATGCTACCAAGGCGCTGCCTTAACTTTGTCCAATTTGGGGAAGATCAGCTGTTAAGTTTCTTGTTTCTGGGAGAAGTTAACCACACGCGAAGGCAGGCCACAGTCCCCACACGCCCACCAAGAATCCACGAAGCGGCTGTAAATGCCTCTGCGCCTGTGGATTGAGGGTATGATGTGCTCAGGTCTCAGCATCAGGAGTCAAACTGTCAGACTGGAAGTGGGGCACAGGCAGACCAAGACAACTGAACTCCTCCTTCCCCTCAACTGAGGGAGGGTACTGCAACCTCCTTTGAAACCTTCCTTCCCAACAGAACCTAAAAAGGTAATCTTGGCATAAAAAAGCTTAGGCTCTCGCCTGACATCTGCTTTTCTCTGATTAATTATCACTTGCATTATTGCCTGCTCTGCAGGCAAGGGACACAGCTCTTGCCTATGACAGAGTTCAGCAACAATTAACTGCAAGGCTTCCTCTTCAATTTCCATTTCCCACCCCCGCGTTCTACATTTACTTTTCTTTCAGAGTACAAGAATCTTTTCCATCTTGCCATAACAGGCTTTCCTGTTCCCGTACCGTGGGCAGAACTCCACTCTGTGACAAAGACCTGCTGTGCTTACACACCGACACCTAGCTTCCCCGATACCCAGCCTCAGAGCTCCAGCCTCCCCCTGCCTCTTCATCGCCATCCGTCAGTGACTGAAGGTTTCCCAGCTCTGTCCTGCACGGAGCAGCCACCAGCCCTCTGCTCTGTCCCCAGCTGGTGAGGAGCACGTGCGGCACACAGCAAACCCAGGTCGGATGCAGTGAGGGCACAGATCCTACCTTGGCAACTGGTGATTTCCTCAGGTTGGCCTTAAGAATGGCAACCCGGGACTTCTCGTCAGGCAGGGGGATGTAGATGAGCTGATCCAGGCGGCCAGGGCGCAAGATGGCTGGGTCGATGATGTCTGGCCTGTTGGTGGCACCGATGATGAAGACGTTCTTCTTGGTGGACATGCCGTCCATCTCTGTCAGGATCTGGTTGATGACGCGGTCTGCAGCACCACCGCCATCGCCGATATTCCCACCTCGAGCCTTTGCAATGGAGTCCAGCTCATCAAAGAAGAGCACGCAAGGGGCTGCCTGGCGGGCCTGCAAAAAGCAAACAGGAACAATTAGTCCATGTTAATACCACCCGGTGAGGAGCATGCTGATTTCACACTCAGCCTACCCTACCATTACAGCAGCTGAGAGGAGTGCCAGAGCACGGCTGCTGCAAGGGGAGCCTGGAGCAGCTGCTCCGGAACAGGC